GAAAGCTGGACAATGAATAAGGAAGATGGAAGAAGAATTGATGCTTTTAAATTATGGTGTTGGTGAAGAACTTTCACCTAAATCACAATAAAATAAATTAAATGAGAACAGACAGAGAGAAAAAAATAGCTTAAGATAAAACTCAGGTGTCCAGGTGTGAGGCAGAGTATGACCTGAACACAAAATCCAATAAACTTGTCAAATGTTTTCATATACATGCCTGTGAGACTTTTGGCACAAGTTAGTGCTCAGTTTATAGCCAGTAAACAAAATTTTAATATCCAGTGCTTCTTGACTGCACATTTAAAAATTACCATATGTTTACACAAATAACATCCACCTTCTACGTTTGTTTGCCAACCACTTCCCATGAGGTATTTTTGTAAGTGCGCTATGCTAATTTTTTTTTTTTACAGCAACATGTAAAAGATAATTGGCATAGTGGCACTTGTGAAAATACCTCATGGGGGGAGGGAATGTTTGGTAAACAAATACAGAAGCTGTGCGTTATTTGCCTAAAAATACAATATGTTAACTACACATTTAAAAATTAATTTCTCTTTAAAAATTTAAACAGCAATAACAAATTGATATGAGTGAGTTTTGAAGATTTCAAAAACTTTCAGCAGCAGACACAAATACAATGTTTACAAAAATTGATGCTACATTTAAATATCAATGCCATATGCTTAATTAATTTTTTTAAAACATACTTCCTTGTTTTTCTGCCTGTCTAATGGAGATGCTCCAAATATATATTTAGATAACCGTATTGGCCTGCTTGCTATTCCTGAAAATTCCAGACAAGCTTCTGCCTTAGGAGTTTTGCACCAGGCTCTTCTCCCTCCCTAGAATGCTCTCCTCTCTGAAATCCACGTGACTCTCACTCTCTTTAAGTGCCTGCTTGAGCATCACCTTCTCAATGAGGCTTACCCAGACTTATCTGTCTGTAATTATATCTGTCCCACACACAGTACTCCCAATCCGCTTTGCACTGCTCTAATTTTTTTCCATTGCACTCACCACCTTTTAGTATACTATGCCATTTGCTATAAATTGCTTTGCCTCATCCTATTAGAATTTAAGTTCTACGAGGGCAGTGATTTTTGCCTATTTTGTTCCCTATGTAGGAGCCCTGGTGGTGCAGTGGTTAAGCATTAGGCTGCTAACCAAAAGGTTGACAGTTCGAATCCACCAGCTGCTCCTTGGAAACCCTATGGGAGTAGTTCTACTCTGTTCTACAGGGTTGCTATGAGTTAGAATCAACTCGATGGCAATGGGTTTGGTTTGGTTTTTGGATGTAGCGCTACGTAGCACAAGAGTCTAGACCCAAACCAATTCCCTTGCCATCAGTAGCAACCCTATAGGACTGAGTAGAACTGCCCCATAGGGTTTCCAAGGAGCAGCTGGTGGATTCAAACTGCTGATCTTTTGAACAGCCGCCGAGCTCTTAACCACTGTGCCACCAGGGCTCCACGCAAGGGTCTAGAGCTGTGCTCTTCAACAGAGTAACCACTAGTCACTTGTGACTATTTAAATTAAATAAAAGTAAACAAAATTTTAAAAATTCATTTTCATTTCCTTAGTTTCCACTAGCCATATTTCAAGTGCTCAATAGTCACATGTGCCTAGTGGCTACCATATTGGTCTATTATCATAGAAAGTTCTAATGGACTGTGCTGGCTTAAGTATTGACGGTAGAAGATCAGTAAATATTTGTTCAATAAATGAATGCTGAATGGCTAAATGTAAAAATCAGCATTTGACAGCTGAAGCCAAAGTAAAGTATCACCTCATAGAACGAATATTTAGTATACAAAAATAAATAAACTTTTTCAATAATTTATTTTATTTTTGTTGTTCTTGTTGAGAACATACACAGCAGAACATACTCCAATTCAACAGATTCTACCTGTATAATTCAGTGACAATGATTACATTCTTCAAGCTGTGCAACCATTCTCACCCTCCTTTTTTGAGCCTTTCCTCCTCCATTAGCATTAACTCGCTGCCTCGTAAATTTCCTGTCTAATCTTTTGAGTTGCTGCTGTCTATTTGATCTCATATAGATAGATCTTAAAACAGCACAATGCTCAAGACAGACTTTCTTTACTAGTTAAGCTTAACTATTGTTTGGTTTTAAGAAGTCTTCAGGGGCTGTTTTGGTTTAAGGTTTAAAGATTATCTCAGGGCAATTGTTTCAGGGATTCATCTGGCCTCCATGGTCCCAGAAAATCTGGATTTCATGAGAATTTAAAATTCTGTTCTGTGTTTTTCCCCTTATCAAGATTCTTCTATAGACTCTTTAAACAAAATGTTCAGTAGTGGTAGCCAGGCATCATCAAATTCTTCTGGTCTTACAGCAAAGGGGATAGTTGTTCATAGAGGCAATTAGCCATACATTCCATGTCCTCCTCCTATTCCTGACTCTCCTTCTTTCTGTGTTGCTCCAGATGAATACAAATCAATAGTATATTGTAACAATTTTATTAGATATACTTTCTTTAGTAGTTAAATTAGAGGAGCTTGACCATATAGTACAGGAATAATCCTGTAACACTTAACTTCTAGATTGCAAGAAATACTTTCAAAGGGGTTTATGGAGAAGAAACATATTTATTGGCTACCCCATTTTTCTCTATTTAAAATGATACTATTTATCCTTAATTATTTCTGGACTTGTGATTTATCATGATTCTTACTGTATGTTGTTAGGTGCCTTGGAGTCAATTTTGACTCATAGTGATCCCATGTGGCAGAGTAGACCTGCCGCATATGGTTTTCTAGGCTGTAATCTTTACAGGAGCAGATCACCAGGTCTTTCTCCTGCATAGCCTAGAGATTCTTCTTTAAAAAGATGTGAAAAATTTTCAAAATGGGATTTTTTTTTAAAAGAAACCTATCCTAAGTTAAATTTATGACTTTTTTAGTCTATCACACAATTCTACAAATAAGAATAGGGATACTATGTAATCTAATCTCTATCTTTCTACCTTGCATTATTTAAAATTTAAAAACACCTGTGAAAAGGAGACTATGCTGTTCCTAAAGTTATTTGGTTACTACCTTCTCTCTTAATATTTATATTCACTGTTACTCTATTTCCTTACTTAAATATTTGGAAGTCTTAATAATTTTTAGTAAAAAATCAACAGTTCTCACAATCATTGTTATTTATAACTGCAGTTTATTCTAGAAAATATTAATATGCACTTTTACCCTAACTGACTGATAGAATTTCAACATATAAATACACAATGTGATTTTCACCAAAAATTAGACTTAAAATATTTATACATATTTGAAAAATAAATTCGCATATGTTGTAGTTATATTACCAATATTGTTACACTTATGTGGTCACATGATCAGTGATCGTACACAAGTTCAGGGGTGCCAGAAAGATATTTAAGTCAATATTCAGCTATTTGCTATTCCATAGGCTGAAGCCAAGTAGTAGATTTTAGCTACACAGCTAAGCTGAAGCAGAACTTCAGTGCATTCTTAGTGGGTATTGCAATGTATATTTTGGTATCTTTCTACATTTCAGTTACATTGTTTTGATTCCTTCTCAAAATTGCAATCATTTTATCATACCTAGTCAAGGTTAATATATCTGTTTGTCAACCAGTTGATTTTTGGAGATGAGATTAGTCTGATAACTATTTTCATTTTTAAACTTGGAACATCAAATGGTCTATTTTAGCCTGTACTTTTCACGTAGGATTTAATTTTTTTTGCAATCAGATGTTCCATCCAGGAATATTATACTTCTAACATCTTTCTTGTATAGTGTTACATAACTTACCGGCTTCTTTTGTTACCCTTATTACAGAACCATGTGTTTCTTATTTTATCAAAATCTATAACATCTTGTTGGAGTTTTGTCTTCTAGGATAGAAGTGAGTCTATGCTGTTAGTTCTCATTCTTAATATATATGACTAGTTCATCATTTTGCTGCAAATTATTTTACCCTTTTTCTATTCACTTACTGTTTGTGAACTCTTAGCTTCTGTTTACCTGCTTACTGAGTGTAATCACCAATGCTTATTAGTTCTTTCTGCTATTGGTACAGAGTTTACTTTCTCCCCAGAATTACTTGCCTTATCCTTTCAGATATGATTATTTAGTATTACATAAAGGAAACAAGTAAATATTTACGTTTGGAAACAGATACATTCTATCTTAAAAAAAATTTTTATTGTGTTTTTGGTGAAGGTTTACACAGGAGTTTAGGTTCCCATTCAACAATTTCTACACAGATTTTTCAGTGGCATTGGCTACATTCTTCACAATGCATGAATATTCTCATTATGATATACTCTTAAGAAACAAAACACATATTAATATACATATTGTAACAATTCCTTTGTGTACTAAAACCAATTAAAATAAACAAGGCCTATAATATTTATCTATATTTTATATTACAAATATAAATTATTTACTTTTTGAAGTTTACTGTGAATTCATGGATTTCTACAGATTTAAACAGTTCTAATTAACCATAACAAATAAAAATACTGATTAATTATTTTTGATAGTCAAATTCTTAAAGTTGGTCTTGGAATCCCTTCAAGTTGATTGCTTTACTTTAAGTACCTTTCACCTGTGGTAAAGATTATATCTGTGCCACAAATTGTCACACTGTCTTTTTTTTTTTTTCTTTAACAAACCTATCTCTCATCTAGGATAACCTTGCAATTTAATCAACAGCTCTGTCACCTCTTCTCCAACTCCAAAACAAAACTGAACAGAACTTTTTGTTATTGTTCATGCTGTCTTTTGCCATCTTAATTATAGCTTGGGCAAAGCTTCTTTTTCAGGTAAGAGGAGTTTCTAGGGCAGAGTTTATCTCAAGCATATAACTGCCTTTGAAAAATTTTATTTGAATGAATAAAAATGTAGTGAGAAATTCCATATGACTCACTGATCAAGTGATCTCAACAAACTTAATAGAAGTCACTACTAACTGCTTTTTGGGTGTTGCTTTCTCAATTTCCGTTACTTTTTGCCTCATCTCTCAGAGTGAATCAAAGGAAACCTCAGTCTTTGGAAAGACTTCTTCTTTTAAGTTAACTATTTTATATTGGGAACTTTCTAAACTCACTAAATATTTCTGAGTATATTCTCTGTATCCATAGGATACAGGAAATATATTTTGCGGAAAAATATAAGAGGACCCTGGTTCTCTCAGCCACTAGACAACAAAGACATTAACACACAATGGTGGCAGAAGAACCTCAGAGTAAACGTATGTTCTTTCTTTTCATTTTCAAAAAAGCAGATGGATTTATGACTATGATTTAAAAACAGAACTGATGGTAGTTGTAAAGATTGGAGATGATGAGATGGAAGGAAATGAGGCTGACTTCAGAGAGGAGGGAGGCAACAGGTAGATTCAAATGTGGTGAGTAACGGAAACTTCTTTACAAAATGTAGATTGGACCAAAAGAGGAGATAAAATATATAAAAGAGAAATAATATGGAAAGAAATAGTTTGGAAAGATTCTTTTGAAGGGAAGAGAGAGAAGGAAGGGGTAGAAAACACTCAGGCTCATAGTATATCTGAAGCTCTGAGTTTGTCTCATGTTATGCTTTTCTTAAATGATGTAAAATGATTTGTATTGAGAGCACATTGAACAAAACTTTTGAGAAATCTATAGAACTAATGCAGAAATACATACATTTAAAATTAAAGTTTCTCTTCTCACTGCTTCACCATGGCAAACTTCAATGGGAGGCTGTACAATGGTTCTGAAAAACAGCTTTTTATGTAAGTTTGTCTGAAAGATTTTCTTTATGTCAGTGCATATGATATACATGATTATTTTCATTGCTATACAATTTCATTGTATGAATTTACATAATTTAAACTTCCTATTATCGGGAATCCACATGTAAGTTTCAGATTCCAGTGTTTGTTTTTTCAATTTCCACAGACATTGCAAGGAATATCCTTTTACATAGATAAGCTCAGTTATATCTATAGGACAGATCTCTAAATTTGAAATTGTTGTGGCAAACATAGTGCATTTAAAAATTGATAAATCTGCTAAACTGATTCTCCTAAAAAGCTTTTATATTTACAGTCTCAGAAGCAACATGTACTTCCTTACCACAGTATTTATTTTCCCTCAGCCTTGCTAACACTGCATACTTTCAACGTACTTTTAAAAAACTGATACGTGATAAATCATACCATAATATTTTAGTTTACATTTCTCAGAATAAGCATACTTTTATTTGTTTAATGGCCATTCACATTTTTTTCAGTGAATTGCCTGTTCAAAGTTTTGCTCAGTTTTCCAATTGATTTTTAAAATCCTTTATACATTCTGGGTATTTCCATGTGTTCCTTGTCATTTAACATTCCTTTAGTTTTTAACAAAGTTTTCATTTTTATGTAGCCAAATGATCCATTTTTATGGCTTTTATGTTTTTATCTTGCTTATAAAAGGCTTTTCTACTCTAAAATTTTTTTTTTTGTTTTCAATTTTCCTTCTTATTTAGTTACCAGTAAATGCTGAAACTGATTTTTTCAGAGGAAATCTCTAAGGTCTTCTTTAGGTGTTAGTTATTTTGGATGCCCTCATATTTAGCTTACTCCTTAGAACTGGCCTCCATACCTCATGTGGCTGAAGGGGTAACTTTTTTATTTTTCTTTCTGCCCTATAGAAGGATACCAGCATCCCAAGCTAATTCCTTCAACCATTGCTGTTGTTTTCATCTTACTTCTCAGTGCCTGTTTTATTGCAAGTTGTTTGGGTAAGTTATTGGCAAAAGTGGAGCTCTTCTAAAGTTATTTTAAGCCTTTTGTCATCTTGATTTCCCCTAACACATCACTCCACAATGCCTTCAGGATCTCGGGTTTAAAATTCAGAGCAACATACTTGACTTTCTGTTCTTTGATGGTTCTACCTTGTGTCAGGGAGTGAAAGATGAAATTTAGACCATTTTCAGTACATGTTAAAGATAGGTGCTGTAGTAAACCATCCCCATTTTGGACTGGGACTACAAAGGGCTGCATCTTATGAGTAAAGCATAACCAGCAAATAATCAACTTTCAGATGGAGTTCAGTTTAGCTTTGAAAAGAAGAACAAGATGGGAAGACTAGTTCTTCCTGATATCAAGACCTAATATAAAGTTACTGTAATTTTTTTTTTCTTCAGCAAACAGAAGTTTATTCTCTCAAATTTTAGTAGACTAAAATTCCAAATTCAGGGCGTCACCTCCAGGGGAAGGCTTTCTCTCTGTCCGCTCTGGAGGAAGGTCCTTGTCATCAATCTTACTCTGGTGTAGGATCTTCTCAGCACAGGAACCCCAGGTCCAAAAGACTCACTGCTCCTGGCACTACTTTCTTGGTGGTATGAGGTCCCCCTGTCTCTCTGCTTGCTTCTCTCTTTTATTTCTCAAAAGAGATTGATGCAAAATACAATCTAATCTTGTAGATTGAGTCCTGCCTCATTAATATACTACCTCTAACCCTGCCCCATTAACATCATAGAGATAGGATTTACAACACATAGGAAGATCACGTCAGATGACAAAGAGGTGGACAATCACACAATACTGGGAATCATGGCCTAGCCAAGTTGACACACATTTTTGGGGGACACAATTCAATCCACAGCAATGTCCGAAGTATATGAGATGAAGTCTGGCAATCTTTCCTTCTAAGGAGCGTTCTGGCTGCAGTTCTTCCAAGACAGATTTGTTCTTTCTTTTGGCAGTCCATGGTACATTCAATATTCTTCACCAATACCATAATTCAAAGGCATCAATTCTTCTGTCTTCCTTATTTGTTGGCCAGCTTTCTTATGCTTATAAGGTGATTGAAAACACCATGGCTTGGGTCAGGCGCACCTTAGGCCTCAAAGTGACATGTTTGCTTTCTAACATTTTAAAAAGGTCTTTTGCAACAGATTTGCCCAATGCAATATGTCCTTTGATTTCTTTCTTTTCTTTTTTATTTTTATTGTACTTTAGATGAAGGTTTATAGAACAAACTAGTTTCTCATTAAACAGTACACATATTGTTATATGACATTGGTTGACAACCCCATGACACGTCCACATTCTCCCTTCTTCACCTTGGGTTCCCTATTACCAGCTTTCCTGTCCCCTCCTGCCTTTTAGTCCTTGTTCCTGGGCTGTTGTGCCCTTCAGTCTCATTTTGTTTTATGGGCCTGTCTAATCTTTGACTGAAGGGTGAACCTCAGGAGTGATTTCATTACTGAGCTAAAAGGGTGTCTGGGGACCATACTCTCGGGGATTCTCTAGTCTCTGTCAGGCCAGTAAGTCTGGTCTTTTTTTATGAGTTAGAATTTTGTTGTACATTTTTCTCCAGCTCTGTCCAGGACTCTCTATTGTGATCCCTGTCAGAGCAGTCAGTGGTGGTAGCCAGGCACCATCTAGTTGTACTGGACTCTGTCCAGTGGAGGCCGTGGTAGTTGTGGTCCATTAGTCCTTTGGACTGATCTTTCCCTTGTATCTTTAGTTTTCTTCATTCTCCCTTGCTTCTAAAGGAGTGAGACCAGTGGAGTATCTTAGATGGCAGCTCACAGGCTTTTAAGACCCCAGATGCTACTCACCAAGGTAGAATTTAGAACATTTTCTTTATAAACTATGTTATGCAAATTAAGCCAGATGTTCCCTGAGGCCATGGTCCCTATAGCCCTCAGCCCAGAAATTCGGTCCCTCAGGGAGTTTGGATGTGTCTATGGAGCTTCTATGACCTTGCCTTGGACAAGCTGTGCTGGCTTCCCCAGTACTGTGTACTGTCTTACCCTTCACCAAAGTTACCATTTATTTATTGTCTGTTTAGTATTTCTCCACCCCCCCCCTTGTAACCATCAAAGATTGTTTCTTTTGTGTGTAAACCTTTTCATGAGTTTTTACAGTAGGAGTCTCATACAATATTTGTCCTTTTGTGATTGACTTATTTCACTCAGCATAATGTCCTCCAGATTCATCCATGTTATGAGATGCTTTGCAGATTCATCATTGTTCTTTTTTGTTGCATAATACTCCATTGTGTGTATATACCATAGTTTGTTTATCCATTCATCTGTTGATGGGCATCTAGGTTGTTTCCACCTTTTTGCTACTGTGAATAATGCTGCAATGAACGTGAGTGTGCATATGTCTATTCATGTGACAGCTCTTATTTCTCTAGGATATATTCGTAGGAGACTGCCGTATCATATGGTATTCCTATTTCTAGCTTTCTAAGGAAGCACCATATCGTTTTCCAAAATGGTTGTATCATTTTGCATTCCCACCAGCAGTGCATAAGAGTTCCAATCTCCCTGCAGCCTCTCCAACATTTGTTATTTCCAGTTTTTTTGATTCGTGTCAGTAATGCCGCGGTGAGATGGTATCTTATTGTGGTTTTGATTTGTATTTCTCTAATGGTTAGTGATCACGAACATTTCCTCATGTGTATATTGGCCACTTGAATGTCTTCTTCAGTGGTGTCTGTTCATATCCTTTGTCCATTTTTTAATTGGATTATTTGTCTTTTTATTGTAGAGTGTTGGATTTTCCTGTAGATTTTAGAGATTAGATCTCTGTCTGATTTGCAATAGCCAAACATTTTTTCCCAGTCTGTAGGTTCTCTTTTTACTCTTTTGATGAAGTCTTTTGATGAGCATAAGTGTTTAAGTTTTAGAAGATCCCAGTTATCTAGCTTATCTTCTGGAGTATGTGTGTTGTTGGCTATGGTTTATATCCTATTAATGTTGTGTATTAGGGCCTCTAGCATTGACCCTATTTTTTCTTCTATGAACTTTATAGTTTTTGGCTTTATATTCAGGTCTTTGATGCATTTTGTGTTAGTTTTGGTATAAGGTGTGAGGTATGGGTCCTGTTTCATTTTTTTGCAGATGGACATCCAGTTTTGCCAGCACCGTTTGTTAAAAAGATTGTCTTTTGGCCATTTGATGGACTTTGAGCCCTTGTAGAAGATCAGGTGATCAGAAGTGGATGGATTTACATCTGGGTTCTCAATTTTGTTCCATTGGTCAATGTATCTGTCGTCGTACCAGTACCAGGTTGTTCTGACTACTGTAGCTGTATAGTAGTGTCATGGATTGAATTATGTCCCCCCAAAAATGTGTGGCTGGGCCATGATTCCCGGTATTGTGTGATTTTTCTATATGTTGTAAATCCTGCCTCTATGATGTTAATGAGGGAGGATGGGCGGCAGTTGTGTTAGTGAGGCAGGACTCATCTACAAGATATTATGTCCTGAGACAATCTCTTGAGATATAAAAGAGAGAAGTGAGCAGAGAGACATGGGGACCTCATACCACCAAGAAAGCAGTGCCAGGAGTAGAGTGTGTCCTTTGGACTGGGGTCCCTGTGTGGAGAAGCTCCTAGTCCAGGGGAACATTGATGAAAAGGCCAACAGAGTGAGAAAGCCTTCCCCTGGAGCTGATACCCTGAATTTGGACTCTTAGCCTACTTTACTGTGAACAAATAAATTTCTCTTTGTTAAAGCCATCCACTTGTGCTATTTCAGTTGTAGCAGCACTAGATGACTAAGACAAGTATGTTCTGAGGTCAGGTAGTGTGAGTCCTCCTACTTTATTCTTCTTTTTCAATAGTGCTTTACTTATCTGGGGTTTCTTTCCTTTCCATATAAAGTTAATGGTTAGTTTTTCCATCTCCTTAAAGAATGTTGTTGGTGTTTGGATTGGGATTGCATTGTATTTGTAAATCATTTCAGGTAGAATTGTCATTTTCACAATGTTGAGTCTACCTATCCATGAGCATGGTATGTTTTTCCATTTATGTAGATCCCTTTGGGTTTCTTGCAGTA